GAGCTGGATATCGGTTGGAATGTCCAATAAAGGGATTGTACACCATAATCAATCATATAGTGGACACAGGATTAGGCTGAGAGCGGTATCTTTGTCCCTTTGAAAGTGGATTATGTTACTTGAGTTGATCACTGGCTCGGAGAGATTATCATAGAATACGAATCATGGTGTGATTTCTTTGTGTCTTCTTGACATTGATTTGCCTACAGCTACTACATGGTAGATGTATACACGATCTCAGGTATCTGTTTATCTCAGTATACCGCTTCTGAAGTAGTGTGAGCAGTGCAGCGGTTAGGAGTCTCACCGTTGCACATAGAAGACCTTAGTTCGAGTCAGGTGTAAGTAGGGGTTATTTTCTCGAGTATAGCATACATCCATTTGTGAGACGTGCTGGCAAAATGAGTTACTTCTCGCAATCGACAAATGGAGATACATGTATTGGCCAAAAATTGACACTAGGGTCAAATTTGTAGAGTTCTTATTGATGTCATATTATTTTTAAAGCACAGCATGCCCTTTATGATTTCTTACCTATAAATTGTAATAACTTCACCTATAAGCGTGATGTATCTATTTCCATGAGGATAGAATAGAAGAAGTTACTTATTTTGTCAGTACGCTTCACATCGGTCTCCTGGGACTTTGGATCCCTCTCCTCCCCGGTTGACTCTGACAGATAGGCAGGGTCATAGCAGCCCTCCTCCTAAATGATCTAAAGTGAACTGATGAGGGCCTAAAACATCTCTACAGTTTAACCACTCGTAACCACCGCGATGTCTGTCGTACTGACAAAGGAAAAACTGAAAAATGTACATACATTTAGATAAGATACTTGAAATTAGAGAGATAGAAACTCATTTTATATTCTTTTTTTTATATTACTGTCTTTTTAAAATAATTGTTTGTTTGTTGGTGTTTTTGTTGGTGTTTTTTTTAGATCCTTTCATTTTTGTATTTTAACGAAACCACGCACAATAGAACGAACACAAGCCAATGTTGACAACTCATAGGGGAAGGGGCGTGCTGGGTTCTTAGATTAAAAGCAAAGTAAATTTC